CATTCCTGGCCCCTATCTACAGCAGGACCCTCCAGCCTGACTTTGTACCTGACAGGCCCTGTTGCTTCCTGCAGAGCCTGGGCACAGTGTGAAATCCTGTTCATTTACTTAAGATCTGTTCCCCTTAGGCTCCCCTCCACCACTAAGATGTGAGCTCTGGGACACCAAAGACTTTTCTGTGTTTTTTTCAGAGTCGTATCTCCAGGGCACAGAATAGGTAGGTATTCAATAAATCCTTGATAGATGAATGAGCGTTACGGTTCCTTAGCTGTGTTCACATGGACTAACCAGCTGTCCTCCATGAGCTTGTCAGAGGGCTCTGAAGGACGAACCAAACTGTCCTTCATGGCTGATCCTGCCAGCATTGTATATCTAGTCACACCTGTGAGAGAGTTGGGGGAAATGGTTCCTCTCTCTGTGTTTTGTGTTTGATTTGTGTGCTTTATTTCTGGCCATTTTTTTTTAACAAGGAGAGTGAGAAACTTGCCCCCACAACCACCTTTTCACCCGCCTTTTTTACAGCTGTTTCCAGCCTGTGTCACTGCCTTGCCCTCACCCTGACCCCAAGTGGGCAGATACCTGGCAGGGAGTGCCTCCTTCCTCCAGGGCAGTCTCAGAGGGCGTGGGCTTTCAGCGCGTTAGGGTGGAGGAAGGGAAGGAGTTGTGGCTGTGTCACTAACTCACAAGGCTGGGTCCCTGTCACTGGTTCTACCTTAAGCAGAAGAAAGCCCCGTTTCGTTTCCCCTTCCTCCTGGGTTCCGTTCAGCGCTAGAACTGTCCCCTCTTCCTCAGGAATCCTTGCACAGGGTCGCATTCTCTACCTGCTGAAGCCAGGAGATCCCTAGTTGGTTGCTGGGAAGTGGAAATCTAGTCCTAACCGCCCCAAACAGGCAGTGTGAGCCTGGCGGGTTCTGGAAACTCCCTGGGTCTGTTACATCAACTGCCTTTGCCTAGGTTGTGTGCGCATATTTTAGAGAGATAGACAACTGTCAACCCAAACAAGAACCCTGCGGCTTCCCCTCGGGCCACAGAGAGGCTGCCAGGAGCCATAAAGCCAGTCCTTCCTAATTTGCGTCCAGTAGGACAGATTGGACTTCTAGGCCTGTGCTCCAGGCCAGAACCCTCCAGTTCACTCTGGTTGGGCTGTTTGGACCCAGGCCCACTCCTGGACCAGGGATTGGCCAGGAAAATGGAAAGTGTTGACCAAGTTAAACCAACCAGAGCATATCCTTAGACCAGGCGTTGGGTTAGCTCCTGGTAAGTGTGTGGCACTGAAATATACTTGAAGATGGGGTGGGGATGGATGCTGAGGGGGTAGTCAACAGTGCCCTGTATTTGACAGAGTTCAGGTGTGGCTCCTGCCATTAGGGAGTGGCCTAGGGAGTGACTCATGGGATGGGAGGTGGGTTATAAAACAGTATGGAGTTTTCTCAAACATTTAGATATGGAACTACTATTTGACCCAGTGATCCCACTTCTAGGAATATATCCCAAGAAATGCAAAGCATCTGTCAGCAAAAATGTATGCACCCCTATATTCATAGCAGCACAATCTACAATATCTAAGGTCTGGAAACAGCCCAAGTGCCCATCAGTAGATGAGTGGATAAAAAAGCTGTGGAACATTTATGCCATGGAATACTATGCAGCTGTTAAAAAAAAAAGAAGAAGAAGAATCTCTCACCCTTTGAGACAGCATGGAGGGACCTGGAGAGTATCATGCTAAGTGAAATAGGTGAATCAGAGAAAGAAAAGAGTCACATGATCTCACTCATATAGAATCTAATGAGCAAAATAAACTGATGAACAAAACAGATCCAGAGACATGGAAGAGTAGAAACCATGGGCAAAGAAAGAAAGAAATGGTTGAGAATTATATGATTAGGAATTTGAAATAAACCAGTGGAAAAAAAAACAACACACAGAAAATGAAACGTGGGAGGGAGGAGAGAAGCAATTATATTTAATGAATTTGTAACAAAAAGTGTTGGTGAGGCTGTGGAGAAAAGGCAACCCTGGTGCTATGTCGGTAGGAACGTAAACTGATGCAGCCTCTATTGAAAACAGTATGGAGGTTCCTCGGAAACTTGAAAATAGAACTGCCATATGGTCCAGCAATTCCACTTCTGGGTATTTATCTGAAGAAAACTTAATTGCTGTCTCAAAAAGATAATATGCACCCCATGTTCATTGCAGCATTATTTACACAGCCAAGACATGGAAACAACCTAAGTGTCCAAGTACAAACGGATAAAGGGTATGGTACAACCCTGGTCGGGTAGCTCAGTTGGTTGAAGCATTGTCCCTATGTGCCAAGGTTGTGGGTTCAATCCCAGGTCCTGGCACATACAGGAATCAGCCAATGAATGCATAAATAAGTAGAACAATAAATCCATGTTTCTCTCTTCCTTTCTCTAAAATCAGTTTTTTTAAAAAAAAAAACAAAACAGGTTGGTGTTGCTCAGTGGTTGGGTGTGGACCCACAAACCAGGAGGTTAAGGTTCAATTCTCAGGGCACATGACCAAGTTTCGATCAGCATCCCCAGTAGGGGGTGTGCAGGAAGCAGCCAATCAATGATTCTCTCTCATCATTGATGTTTCTCTCTCTCTCTCTCTCTCTTGCTCTCCATTCCTCTCTAAAATCAATAAACTTATTTTTTTAAAAAGATGTGGTACATGTATACAACGGAATATTATTCAGCCATAAAAAGAAAGGAATTCTGTCATTTGCAACAACATGAATTAATCTTGAGCATTATGCTAAGTGAAATAAGTCAGAGAAACAGACAACAGATTAGTGATACTAGAGGTGGAGATGGGGGTGGGCAGGGTGGAGATAGTGGGTGAAATGGGTGAAAGGTAGTCAAAAAGTACAAATGGCCAAACTTCCAGTTATAAGAAAAAATAGTCCTGAGACAACGGGGATGGTAGTCTACAATACTGTACTGTATATTTGGAGTACGGAAAGAAAGTAGATCTTAAAAGTTCTCATCACAAGGAACCAGTGGACGGTGAGCAGAGCCCCTCAGAAATCCGTCAGCATCTCCCATTTCCAGTCTCCACCGTGGCCTTCTTCCCCTCCTCCCGCATGAGGAAGGGGATCTTAGCGTGTGATGGGTGCGGGTGTCTTGGGAGAAGACGGGGGCTCCTGGGCCCTCGTGGGGCGGGGACCCGAGTCCTGCTGGAGCGGGGGACTCGTCTTGGCCACCACGATTTCGTCCACAGTGGCCAGCTGCAGCACGATGTCCACCACGGCCCGCAGCGCTTGGGCCTTGGCCGCCAGGGTGTCCCACACCTCTTCCTGGGCCACGTTGATGATCCCCTCGACCCCCACTCCTATCAGGAAGTGCCCTTGCTGGTGCGCGGCCGTCAGGTCTGCCATCACCTGGGAGACGGCGAGGCCCGCGTTCTCCGCCAGGGTGGCGGGGAGAGACCGCAGGGCCTGGGCGAACGCCAGGAGCGCGGGCCCGCTGGGCCCTTCCAACGCGGCGCCTTTATCCGCGAGGATTTTCGCCAGAGCCATCTCGGTGGCCCCGGCGCCCGGGAGCAGCCGGGGGTCCTGGCACAGCTGCGCGAAGGCGTCGATGCCGTGGTAGACGGCCTGCTCCGCCCCGCGCAGCCCCTCCTTGGTGGCCTCCCTGAGCACCAGGGTGAGGGCGGGGGTGTCGGAGCCCCCCCACTCAAACACCACGGCCGAGCCCTGCCCCAGCTCCTGCGGGTACACGCGCAGGCACTTCCCCAGCTGCAGCGGGGGGAGCAGATAGGGCATCACGGGC